ACCAAAGCCTACTGAAGCACCAAAGCCTAATGAAGCACCAAAGCCTACTGAAGCACCAAAGCCTACTGAAGCACCAAAGCCTACTGAAGCACCAAAGCCTACTGAAGCACCAAAGCCTACTGAAGCACCAAAGCCTAATGAAGCACCAAAGCCTAATGAAGCACCAAAGCCTACTGAAGCACCAAAGCCTACTGAAGCACCAAAGCCTACTGAAGCATCAAAGCCTACTGAAGCACCAACTCATGATGATGATGATCGTGAAACAGGTAACAGAAAAATTGCCAGCTTACAAGATATCACAGATGGTTACTGGTCTTTCCACAGACCCATTTCCACCCAGGAAAATTTTCCACAGAAAGAAAATTTTGTAAAATGTGATTGAAATTTTCCGTTGGAAAAAAATTTGAAATTGAAAGTTTTCAACTTTTAACAATGATATTTTTGGAAAATCAGAAAATTTTCTATCCTTGGAAAATTTTTCTGTCTGTGTAGATATATAGTGTCAATTTGGAATATACAGCAAGATTTAAAAAGATGTACTCTGTCCAATGCCAGACAATTTCACTTGTCAAGGGAAGAGTGTGCATTAATGGGTGAAACAAATCATTTTATTCTTGATCAACCAGTTTTATTTGTTCATTTATTTTACTGGATGATTGTTAATTAAAGACTTATTGTATGTCTAAAGCACCTGTGATATAAATACTTTGTATAAATTTACAATACTAATTGTGTAATGAGTCGATTTGTTTTTAACATAATTGAAGACGACGGGGATGATAAAAAACTTCCCCACGCTGGATTACATAAACCTGGAACGGATGGCAGTGGTGGAAAAAATAATCAATGTAAAATTTCCTGTGTAAGGCAAATATAAAACTTCCTGCATATGTAGATTTCAGAGAACGTATATGGTGGCACACAGCTGTGTGATAAACTTCAATCTCGGCACAAGACTGTCTAGACTTGCAGAATGCTTTTGTAGACAACAAGTAAATTATATGGCATTCCAGTATATATTTAGGATGACAATAATTTTGCGCAAGATATAAGAAAATTTCCTGCAAAGATATTTCCAGGCAGGGCGGAGGGGGCTGCAGGACATTTTCCAGCACTGGGGGTG